TATGGTACAAGGATGTAGAAGAGCTCAGTTAGAACAACAAAGACATGGCCAAGAGCTCACTGTGGGTGGATTACAGACAGTTTGTGTGCAAGTTCCAGGTTTAGCTAAAGGACAAAATGAATCAGTCTGATCATTTATTTTTTGTGCCTTTGAGTTTTTCTTAAGATTTCAAAAATGGTTTCCATTGCCTGCTTCCCACGGCTGAGAGGGAGTAATCAGCCCAAGGTCACCCAGCTGGCTTCATGTCTAAAGCAGAACTACAACTCACAATCTCCTGGTTCTAGCTTGTAGGTGCTACACAAAACTGGCTCAACTTAAGCAAATTCTCACCATTTTCAGATACTAGAAATCACTTTGAAAAAAACACAAAGATCTCAGGAAGGAACAAAGAATTTCAAAGAGCTGTTAGAAGACACAAATAGCAGTATTACAGCAGCACAGACAAACAAGAACAGTTTTCCAAAAATACCTGAACTCAGTAGGAGGCTTTAACCTCAAACTGGTATGATAAAGGACACCAATAGACAAATAGTATTTGATCAAAGAAAATCAGACAAAGATTGTTTGGTACAGTAGAGATGTCAGCATCCAAGATACTGCCCATTTACAAGAGTTTCTAATACTAAAAGATAAAGTTAGGTCAGTGCTCTAGTTGTTGCGAAGTTAGAGGACTAATAGGAATTGATGGAATATTGATGGATTATGGCACATTGTCATTGTTATTGTCATCATCATCATCATCATCATCATCATCACCACCATCATCATCATTCTAGACTAGGAATGGAGAAATAAATATTTTGCTTGCATTTGGACTGCAACTTTATCTAATGTTATATTTTGGAACTGAAATTTCAGGACCTGTGGTGGCACAGTGGTTAGAATGAAGTATTGCAGGCTGACTCTGCCCACTGCCAAGAGTTTGATCCTGGCTCAAGATTGACTCAGCCTTCCATCTTTCTGTGATCAGTACAATGAGGACCCAGAGTGTTGGGGGCAATATGCAGACTCTGTAAACCATTTAGAGAGTGCTGTAAAGCATTATGAAGTGTATATAAGTGTAAATGCTATTACTATTGAACCAAAACTTTAGTAATCCTTCAAACTGTGCAATTTTCCAAATTCTGTGTGTGCTAGTCATTTCTTGATACAAATAAAATGATTATGTGCCATCAGGTTAGTGTCAACGCTTAATGAATCTATATGTCTGTCTGTCTGTCTGTCTGTCTGTCTCTGTCTCTGTCTCTGTCTCTGTCTCTCTCTCTCTCTCTCTCTCTCTCTCTCTCTCTCTCTCTCTCTCTATCTATCTATCTATCTATCTATCTCGCTAGCTATCTCAGTATCTTGCTATCTAGCTATTCGCCAAGAAGGTCTGTCCATCACCTGGTCCTTCAAGTCTTCCAACAGTACATTTGTTGCTGATATAATTTAAGTCTCCTTCTTCTTCTCTTTCCTTCCACCTTTCCCAGCATTACAGATATCTCCATAATATTAGGTCTTCCCATACTTTGTCCAGTGTAGGATCATTTGAGCCTGATCATTTATGCTTTAAGTAAGAACTCTGGATTGATTTGTTGGATAATCCTTTCTTTTTCTTGGGCTGCCCATTGTATTCTCAGGAGTCTTCTCCAACATCAAAGTTCAAAAGCATCAAAGTTCAAAAGCATCAATATTCTTTCTATCTTACTTTTTAAAAGTCCTATCAGAGGAAGTATTACAGAATACATACAAAAAATGTTAATATTCAAAAACTATTATGAACATCAATGCATTAAATAAGGAAAGAATTACTTGCTAATAATATTTTCATCAACAAATGTACAATTAAAGAGCAGATGATTGCAAAAATGTGCATTTAAATAATCTTGGTTTTTCTTTCATGTCCAGCTTGGCCAGTCTAGTAATCTTGCCTAGTAAGGAAATGTACTAGCTTTGTTTCCAAGCTGCAGCAACATAGACACAAATAGAAGCCATCACTCTATGGATACAGGATGCAGCTGTCAGAGGTATAGGGAAGGTGTATAGCTCGGGTCTGCCTGTGGAGATTGTGAGCCTGGTAAAAAATATGTCTCTTCCTTGGAAGAAGAATTTAACAACTGGTTTCCAAGGATTGGACTTTGATAGAGCCAGCCCTTGAGAACATCAGCTAAATAACAGACTTGCATGATAGTTCAAGTTAGACTGTTGCAAAGTCTTCATGGTGGGAGGAATTGTATCCTGCATTCAAGACCCATTTTTTTTACTTCTTCACCTCTCACCCAGCCATAACATGAGCCCTTCTCATGTTGAACAAAAAGACTGGTGCAAGAATTTTGATGGTACAATTGAATCTTTCTTGCAGTCATGGATCCTAATCACACTAGGCTTACTAAGACTCAATGTGCAGATAATCCCCTTTCAGAGTCAGTCTTCAGAATGCCAAAGTCTGAAGCTATCTATCTAGGATGTAATCACAGAGGTAGGACAAAACACCACATGGTTACACATTCCTAAAATTGCTTGGTTCCCCCAAATTTGACATAGATGAGGTGGTCCTCAAAAATCATGGATATTCATGGAACAAAGTTGTCATCGATTGACATTTGAATCCACAATAAGCCAAACTGAAGCCTTATCAGAGACAGGGTATTACTAGTAGTTGTTGGAGACAAAAAGCTAAATAGGAGTTTTCTGGAAAATATCTGATTGAATATTACTGGAAGCAGGCTTAGGGTTGGGTTGAATCGTCATGTCCCTGTACATCACTTCTAAACCATGATGCACCTCAAAGAGAAACTGTGTTCTGTTAGCATATTAGTCTAGCACAGACCTGAGCATCTTATGGTCCCCCCAGGCCATGTCCAGCCCTGTCCAGTCCGTGTGAGGTCAATTGGAAGTTAGAAAATAAAATTTACATAAGTGCACCTCAGGTGGCAGGAAAAGAAGCTGTGTGCGTTCCTTTAGTCAGCTGGTGAGAGAAAGTGCTTTCTGCACCTATAGCAGAAGAATAGTGGCTCGGCTGAGGTGAGGTGAGGCGAGGCTCTGCACTACCTCCTCCCTCAACGAGTGGGCACCGGTGGCAGAATTAAATTCAGCCTATTGATTTGGACCTTCACAACAGTTCCAGTTTCTCATGTGGCTGCTTGGGAAAATTAATTGCTTACCCCTGATCTAGAAAGTATACGTTAGAATTCTTTTCTTGAAAATATGGACCAAACAAAATTTCCCTATATTTCCAATTCTGTTTTTCAATCTTAACAACTACTATAAATGTATTTCTTTCAATATTTTTTATACTTCAACTTTGTATTTTTAGGCTTGGACACAACATATAATAAGAACACCTCAATGTAATGCATACAATTATTGGTGGAGGAGGAGGCAGGTATTATGCAAAATTAGTTTACCCCCACCTGTTGTGCTGCATTATGAATTCCATCACTCTCAGACAGGGTGGATTTTGGCTCCCTTGACAGATACAAGGCACAAAAGAGGCCATTCACTTCAGCATGTAGAATAGAATAGAACCACAGGGCAAGAATGGACCTTGGAGGTCTTCTAGTCCAACTCCCTGCCTAAGGCAGAGGACCTTATATCAACCCAGACAAATGGTTGTCCAATCTCTTCTTGAAAACCTCCAGTGATGGAGACCCACAAGTCTGGGAAGCCAGCTGTTCTATTGATTTATTGTTCTCACTAATAGGAAAATTTCTCCTTAGTTCCAGGTTGGATCTCTCTTTGACAAGCTTCCATCTATTACTTCTTATCCTACTCTCAGGTGTTTTGAAGAATAAATCAACTCCCTTTCTTGACAGCCCTCAAATATCAGAAGATAGCTATCATGTCACCCTTAAACCTTCCCTTTGTTAGGCTAGACATACCTAGTTCCCTCAACCATTCATCATATGATTTAGCCTCCAGACCCTTTATCATCATTGTTGCTCTTTTCTGCACTCTTTCTAGGACCTTAGCATCTTTTTTGTATCTTGGTGACCAGAACTGGATGCAATATTCCAAGTGTGACCTCACTGGCGCAATATAAAGTGGTATTATCACTTCTCATGATCTTGATGCCTTTTTGGCAGCTGCAGCACATTGCTGGTTCATAGTTAAGTGGTGGTCCATCAGGACACTTAGATTCCTCTCACAATTACTACTTCTGAGCTGAGTACCGCCTGTTCTGTACCTGCACATTTGGTTTTTCCTACCTAAGTGCAAGACTTTACTTTTCTCATCTCTGAACTGCATCTTGTTGGCTATGGCCCAACACTCAAGTCTGTCAAGATCCTTCTGAATCTTGAGTTTATCTTCCAGAGTGTTAGCAATTTCCCCCAGCTTGGTATTATCCCTCATCTAGATCATTTATGAAGATGTTGAAGAGTACTGGCCCCAATACAGAACCTTGAGGTACCCTGCTGCATGCCTCCCTCCACGTAGATGTTAATTCAATTGAGGACTACATACTGACTGTGGTTGGTCAGCCAAGTACTAATCCATCTGGTGGTGGTACTGTCTATTTTACCAAGAGGCTGTGGTCTACTTTATCAAATGCCTTACTAAAGTCCAAGTATACTAAATTCATAGCATTTCTATGATCCACTAATTTAGTAACTTAATCAAAGAAGATAATAAGGTTTGTCTCGCATGATCTGTTCTTAACAAACCCATGTTGGATTCCAGTAATCTCATTTCTCATTTCTACATGCTCACAAATCTACTGCTTGATCATTTTTTCCAGGATTTTCCCAGCTATTGATGTCACACTGATTGGCCTATAATTTCCCGGATTCACCTTTTCCTCTCTTTTTGAAAATTAGAACCACAGCAGCTCCTTTCCTGAATAAACCTGACCAGTTTAAACAGGCAAGCTGAATAGTTTGGATCTGTTATATTCAAAACAATATAAAATTGCTCTCCATCAAACTTCCAGATTAATGGGTTGGTGGGACCATAATGAAAGCCCTGAGTAAGTGGGGAAAATAAATTTTTGAGAGCATTGTGTGTCTGCCTTGGACTCTTACCAACATCTTAGCTAGCTGTCTGCTTCATCCAGTGCAGGAGATGCCAGTGAAAGCAGATGCAGTTTTCTCTGGCCTTAAAGGTCTTTGGCAGGACTTATCTAGTGGCACTATTGTGAAGTCAATGATGCTTGCAGCCTGGACTGGGTGTTAATCCACCAATCACAAAAGACCAAACAGGAGACAAGGAAATGGGGGCATTTGGAACAAAGAAACTGAGTAGGGTGCTTATGCGTGACCAAGTTACACATCTCATTAACCCATAGATAACTCCACTACAGCTGGTGAGATTCAGTCCATAAATATGGCCTGCAAACCACAATAGTTGGATTTGAACCAGTGGTAGGATTAAAAAATTTTTTACTACTGGTTCTGTGGCCATGGCTTGGTGGGCGTGGCAGGAGAAGGATACTGTAAAATCTCCATTCCCACCCCATTCCAGGGGAAGGATTCTGTAAAATCTCCATTCCCTCCCCACTCCAGGGGAAGGATACTGTAAAATCTCCATTTCCACCCCACTCCAGGGGAATGTTACTGCAAAATCCCCATTTACTCCTGATTAGCTGGGACTTGGGAGGCAGAGAATAGATGGGGGCAGGGCCAGTCAGAGGTGGTATTTACCGGTTATCTGAACTACTCAAAATGTCCACTACCAGTTTTCCAGAACTGGTCAGAACCTGCTGAATACTACCTCTGATTTGAACAACGTGTAGAGCCAAAACCAAACAAAGCATATGATACTGTAGCTTAATGTGTGAACCTTGCCCCATGTCTGTCGAAAACAGGTTGACAGAGAGACAAAAGGCAACGTTTCTTCTCAGGCTGCACAATTAACCTGTGGAATCTGTTGCTGCTTGTAATGAGAAACAAGCAATTCAGAAAGTCTGGCTTAGAGACCACAACTGGAATTGGCAACTCTTTTCCTAGGTGATGCAGTTATTAAGTGAAACACGTGATCATGATGGTCTAACAATATCGCTCCCCATTTGGTCATTAAACAAGGCATCACAAACATCACAGATTTTACTGCTGGCTTCTTCATTGATTCTGCTTGTTGGAAGCCAACTGTATAGCAAGCAAATTGTGATCATATGACTACAGAACACTGCAATGACTGTAAAGAACTGGTCATTAAAGTTATTTTTCAGCACTGTTGTAACTTTGAATGGTTGCTAAACAAATAAATTCTCGAAGAACATCTACCTTCAGATAAATCGATGGCAGACATGTTGCTAAATCTATATGCAGGTAGTCCTCAACTTACAAGAGTTCATTTAGTGACCGTTCAAAGTTACAATGGCATTGAAAAAAGTGACTTATGACCATTTTTCACAGTTATGATCATTGCCACATCCCACGGTCACGTGATCAAAATTCAGGACATTTGGCAACTGAGGACGGGGAAGCCAGATTCACTTAACAACTTTGCTATTCACTTAACAGCCGCAGTGATCCATTTAACAACTGTGGCAAGAAAAGTCATAAAAGGGGGGCAAAGCTCACTTAACAAATGTCTCACTTAACAGCAGAACTGTTGGGCTCAATTGTGATCGTAAATCGAGGACTACCTGTACTACTTACAGCCTCATTCTTGTAACTTTAACTAGACAAAATGGTGCATTTAGGGTGACAATTTTTGAACCAAGGTACCTGACATGGGCTAACTTACAGAATGTGTCCAAAACCTGATATTCATGACTCCCATGAAACTAAAATTTCATAAAACATTTTATGACATGAAATGATCATAACGCTATTTGTGGCATAATAGAAAATATTATAAAAAGTTTCCTATGGTGATGTTTGAATGGGCTATATGGTTTGACGTGGACAATTTTCAAAGTAGGTACATCTGTGAATGCATCCCAACTTTTCCAGTGAAGACATTAGAAATTCTACCTTTGCTGAAGGCAGTGAAGAATCTGATAAGGAAATATCTCTGAAAAGATAACCCAATGGGCCACAGGTTGTCTAGTGTTTATCAACCATAATAGTGCTCTAAGCCCTCACGTTGAGAGGCAGTCTATCTCTAACATTTATTGAGGACCAAATTTGAAGAAAACTGGGGGGTGGAGCAAGGTTTTGAAGGAACAGAGAATAAGATGTAGGAAGGAAATGCACATTGTTGTATTTTTTTTAAAGGGAGAGGTGAATTTGAGGCAAAGAATTATTATTATCTGCGTTCCAGTCAATCGTGTCTGATTCTCAGAGACTGCCTGGGCAAGCCCCTGAAGTTTTTCTTGGCAAAGGAATTATAGGTGGAGTTATTTAATCCAAATCAGCCTTGTGAATACAAATCAGCTCGTTTTGCATTCGTTTGCTGAATTTCCTCACTTTATTCCAAGCCCTCTTAATTGAAGCTCTGCTCTGCGCTCGGAATATTTTTGGCACAGGGCAGTTGAAAATCAAGCTGGAGTTCTACTGATATCTCCCAGCAACTCATGAGCGGAGGAGCGGTTTCAACCAGCAGGGCTGTCTTGCTTGTGACAACACTTTCTATAAACCCACAAAGTTCTTTGCAACAACCAATGCCTCTTTGTCCCGAAAAGATTAAGAAACAGTCCCGTTGATTCTTTTTTTCCTTTATAGTGTTGACTTGTGGAATTCACCCAATATGTAATGCCCCTTCTTATGTCCTTTAAACAGGGGTATTCTTTTTTTTTTTTCTTTTTTTTTATTTTTTTTTATTTGATTTATATGCCGCCCTTCTCCGAAGACTCAGGGCGGCTTACAATGTGCTCAGCAATAGCCTTCATCCTTTTGTATATTTATACAAAGTCAGCTTATTGCCCCCACAAACTGGGTCCTCATTTCACCTACCTTAGAAAGGATGGAAGGCTGAGTCAACCTTGAGCCTTGGCGAGATTCGAACCCTGCAGTAATTGCAGGCAGCTGGTCTTAAGCAGCTTAATAACAGGGTGCCTTAAACCCTAGTACTACCAAGGCTCTTTGAAAGCTTTTTTTTCTTAAGCATTAGGAAATGATCTTAATGGCCAGCAGGAAAACTCAAGAACTTAACTGGTCTGCAACAGAGGGGCATGCTTTATTTAATTTTTATTCCACCTTTATTATCGTTTATAAATAAATCATGGTGGTGAGTATACTTGATACTCCTTCCTCCTCCTATTTTCTACATAACAACAACCCTGTGAGGTAGATTCGGCTGAGAGAGGATGACTGGTCCAAAGTCGCCCCACTAGCTTTCATTCCCAAGGTGGAACTAGAATTTACAGTCCTTTGCTTCCTAAGCCAGCACCTTAATACTGAACCAAACTAGCTCTCTCATATTTATTCATTTATTCATTTATTCATTTATTCATTCATTCATTCATTCATTCATTCATTCATTCATTTATTTATTTATTTATTCATTCATTTATTTATTTATTCATTTATTTATTTATTTATTTATTTATTTATTTAAATTTGTATACCGCCCTTCTCCTAGTGGACTCAGGGCGGTGAACAGCCACAGCCACATGCCAACACATGCCAATACAAAATTTAAAATTGTTAAAAGAATTATATAACTGGCCCAATTTAAAACAGTTCAATTTAAAACCCCATGACAATTTAAAACTAAAAAACTAAAAAGACTAAAAAAAGGGGAGGGGGTTCACCCCAGCCCTGCTTGATGGAAAAGAAAAGTTTTCAGGGCACGGCGAAAGACCCAGAGATCTGATATCCTTCGTATCTCCGGGGGCAAATCGTTCCAGAGGGCAGGAGCTGCTACAGAGAAGGCCCTCCCCCTGGGGGTCGCCAGCCGACATTGCCTGGCTGATGGCACCCTGAGGAGTCCCTCTCTGTGGGCGTACTGGTCGGTGGGAGGCTATCGGCGGCAGAAGGCAGTCCTGCAAATACCCAGGTCCTATGCCATATTTTATTATTTATTTATTTATTTATTTAATTTGTATACCGCCCTTCTCCCAGAAGGGACTCAGGGCGGTGAACAGCCAAAATTAAAAAACATACAAATGTAAAAGTTAAGATAATTAAAAGAATTAAATCACTGGCTACCCAATTTAAAACCCCAAATCCATAAAATTTAAAATCCCAATTAAAAACCATTTAGGCTAAGCCGGCTTGATGAAATAAAAACGTCTTCAGGGCTTTACGGAAGGTCTGGAGGTCCGGGATCAATCGTATTCCAGGAGGCAGCTCATTCCACAGGGCGGGTGCCCCCACAGAGAAGGCTCGCCCCCTGGGGGCCGCCAGCCGACATTGCCTGACCGACGGCACCCCGAGGAGGCCCTCTGTGAGAGCATATTGGCCGGTGGGAGGTTATTGGATATCCAGTGGGAGGTTATCAAGATATCAAGGATATCTTGATGCAGAATTTCCTTTGTTTGTGCAAAAATAATATTTTGACAATTCTGTTTTTTGCTCATTAATATTCAAGAATATACATAAACATCCATTGTTCAAGGTAAAATACATAACAGTGCATAATACCCTGTTTAAAAATAGCCATACTAAAATTAAATGCACGTAAAATCTGTGGGGGTTTGAACAAGAATATTGAGAAATAATATGGCAGGGAAAATTATTGTTCAGATTTCAAGCCCGGGTATGGAACAGGGATTATAATCATCATTTGGCAATGAGCCATGTTGGGACCTGGATGGGGATAGCATACCTACTGTCTGAACCAGTCTGTGACCATCAATGTTATTGACCACGATATTCCTGTAGATCAGCTGCAAGAGTTGGGAATTGGACACAAGCTCTTTTCTAGCTCTAGAAAAGAGCTATTTTGCTCTTTTCTCAGCAGTCAGTTAGGGTAGGTAGAGGGAAGAGAGACTCCTGAAGTGGTGGCTAGCCTATGGAATGGCACATGGGCTAGTTCTCTCCTTAAGCAGGGGTGAAATCCAGCAGGTTCTGACAAGTTCTGGAGAACCGGTAGTGGAAATTTTGAGTAGTTCAGAGAACCAGCAAATACCACCTCTATCTGGTCCCAGAGTAGGATGGGAATGGAGATTTTGCAATATCCTTTCCCCCAGGAGTGGGGAAGGAATGGGGATTTTGCAATATCCTTCCCTTGGAGTGGGATGGGAATGGAGATGTTGCAATATC